CACGAGCATGGCTCTCTACTGAGTCCTGTGAGTCCTCTAATGAATGGTTAAACCAGGGGCTAGTCTTGGGGACCCCCAACAGGTACTAATAGATGCTGTTACAGATAAATGCCAAGATGTCAGAGGCTCAACATGGTAGTTATTGATGTAAAGATTGATAACAGTGTTCCTGAGAGAGTAGGTGGCCTTCTCCCTGGTCCTTCAGGGCCCGGATGCCTTCCATCTTGAACTCTGCCTTCCTCTAAGACCTCTGACTCCTCTGCATTAAGGATGCAGATGGGAAAAGAAACTGTGGGAAGGACATGAGCCCTTCTTAATGTTCCCATGTTGCCCTCAGGATGACACACATCACTCCATCTACCCAAATTCCATTGGCAAACATCAGTCATAGGACCTCACCTAAAGGCAAGGGGTTAGGAAATGGAGCCTCTGCTCAGTGGCTGCTCTGCAGCAGCTCTTCACTGCAGAAGGAAAGCGTGAATCCTTGATGACCTACAGCAGCTCCATAGCAAATACTTACTATGAACTCATTGTGTACTCAACTTTATGCCAAGTGCTATTGAGCAGCCCAAAGAAGTGATATTGTTCTTGTCCATGTGCAGCTTGACATGGAAAAGGGAATTGGTGACCCCAAGGATGAGGAGGCAAGGCCTACTTTTTCTGGAAAGTCTTCTTTCCTCCCAGACCTCTTCCTCTGTGTTTCCACAGTAACTGGTGATAAATCCTCTTGTAGCACTCATTGCAATGCATTGAAACCTTCCATTTTCTTGTCTGACTCTCCAACTGAATTATATTTTTAAGGTTGCAAATTCAGCTGTCTTATTGACCAGTATGTAACCCCAGTGCCCAGCACAGAGCCTGCCACATCTGAGATGTGCAGTGAATCTGCGAATGAATAAATGACTGAATGCAACAGTGAGATGCAATGTGGTACCATGCATGGAATGTGTGCTTCAATATTACTCAAACCTTCTTATGACTGGGACTTCACAAAAGTTACTGAACTTCTCTGAACCTCAGTTGCTCAGAAAAATATCAAATTGCAGGGTTGCCATGAGGATTCTCTGAGATTATGAATGTATATATAGCATCTGTCCCTGTGCTAGGCACATAGTAAATTTGATAAAAATGATATTTGTTTTTAACCTAAATTATAGCCAATGGGAAACCAATTTCAGCTTCTAGGTATATTCTTTTTTTTAAATTGTACTTTAAGTTCTGTGGTACATGTGCAGATCTTGCAGGATCGTTGCATAGATACACACATGCCATGGTGGTTTGCTGTCTCCATCCCCCTATCAGCTACATCAGGCTTGTCTCCCAATATTATCCCTCCCCAATCTCCCCACCTCCCACTGTCCCTCCTCTAACCCCCCACCCCCAACAGACCCCAGTGTGTGACATTCCCCTCCCTGTGCCCTTGTGTTCTCATTGTTCAACACCCGCCTGTGAGTGAGAAATTGCAGTGTTTGGTTTTCTGTTCTTGTGGCAGTTTGCTGAGAATTATGGTTTCCAGATTCATCCATGAACTTATCCTTTTTTATGGCTGCATAGTATTCTCTGGTGTCTATGTACCAGATTTTCTTTGTTCAGTCTCTCATTGATGGGCATTTGGGTTGGTTCCAGGTCTTTGCCATTGTAAACAGTGCTGCAATGAACATAATGTGTGCATGTGTCTTTATAACAGAACAATTTATAATCCTATGGTTATATACACAGTAATGGGATTGCTGGGTCAAATGGAATTTCTATTTCTAGATCCTCGAGGAATTGCCATACTGTCTTTCACAATGGTTGAACTAATTTACACTCCCACCAACAGTGTAAAAGTGTTCCTATTTCTCCACATCCTCTCCAGCATCTGTTGTCTTCAGATTTTTTAATGATTGCCATATCAGACAGAGACAATGAAAAATAAGATCTTAGGCTGTGTCCTGGATATACGTTCACTCTTTCTTCAAGATCTGTAGTCTTTAGGTAAACCATTGTTAAATCTATTATACATGTCACCTCTAATGGTGCTATCTGGCCTTCAATGATGATTTTGTAATTAACGCACACATGCACAGACACACAGGCACACAGTGATACCAAACACTTCCTCTCATACACTATTCCTGATTGGTTTATTTTCTATTTCTTAACTATCTGAGCCTCTAGTTTTTTACTTTTTTTAAAAGCCACAGAAAGCCCTTTTTTTTTTTTTTTTTTACTCTATGCTAGGGAAGCCAGAGTGTGAAAGCTCTTCCCTGGTTGATGGGAGGTAACCACCAGCTCAGCCTCCCCTTAGCTCCCTGATGTTGCCCTGACCTCCATCAGAGAACTCAAGACTACAAGGAGCGCAGTTTGAAAACCATGGGTGAAACAGTAGTAGGAACTTGGCAATGAAGTTAGAGTCTAGTTCAGTAGACAGCTTCATGGATAAGGAAAACCAGCAAGCCCCAAAGCCTAAAAGTAAATCCTTGTGAAAGGGTGTGGTGGGGAGTCTTCAGGAAAATTTTTCTGATCGTAAATGCCCCAGGGCACCAATGTCATGTTTGGCATCTGATTCCACAGCGTCTATACCAGCCCAGCGTCTATACCAGTCCAGCATTTATACCAGCCCAGCGTCTATACCAGCCCAGCATCTCTTGCATTGTTCTCTGTGAGGACATCTCATGCGGGGCTCACCCTGCCCTGGATTTCTCAGTCTTTGACCCCCTTATCTCCAGCAATCTTTTTCTCTACTTGGCCTCAGTCACACAATCACTTTGACACTTTACCTTGTCATCATCAAAAAACTGCCTCTGCTCCATCTTTCCTGTTTGCTGGCCCTTGAAAATACCTTGTCTTCTCTTTCTGTCACACTCACCAAATAAAACTCCAACTTCGGATAAACCATCCATCCTTCCTGTCCTTCTTTGAACTCATTCAGATGAACCTGGCCGAGGAAAATATCACAGCAAAGCAGAGAGAACTGTAACTCAACATGACCTCTGGTGCCACACTGTAATGTAGACCACTGGCTTCCCCCTTCCTAAAACTGAGTTCACAACTTCTCACCTCTCTGCTTTCTTCCTGTCCTCCAATTCAGCTCACTCTTAGTGACCTTGGCTCATTCCACCGAGAATGCAGAAGCCACTTTCTCATGTCTACAAGGCAAGTGCTCCCTCGTTCACCTGTTCCAAGTTCCACACACCTGTTTCCACCTCTTCATTCCATCCTACCCCCATGAGGTTGTGCTCTCATAGCTCTTAAAACCAATCTCTGTGGTACCCTTCTCAGGGATTTTGGCCCTTCATTATCGTTATTCCTGGGGCTTCAACCTCTGTTTGTTTTTGAAACAGTGTCTCACTCTATCACCCAGGCTAGAGTGCAGTGGCAGGATCACAGCTCACTGTAGCCTCAATTCCCACAGCCCAAGCGATCCTCCCACCTCAGCCTCCCAAGTAGCTGGGACCCCAGGCATGTACCACTATGCCCAGCTTTTTTTTTTTTTTTTTTTTTTTGGTAGAGGCAGGATCTCCCTATCCTGCGGAGGCTGGTCTCAAAATCCTAGGCTCAAGTAATCCTCCTGCCTCAACCTCCCAAAGAGCTGGGATTATAGACATGAGCCACTGTGCCTGGCTTCAACTTCTAGATTCTCCATGGAGTCATTCCTATCATCCTACAGATGTGTTCTGGAATCTCTCATCAAGCAAACAGCAACGAAACTCTCCAGACTCCACCTCCCTCATCTGGAGCTCAGGCTGGCTCCTCCAAGTGCCAAACATTTATCTCTGTGTGCCTTGGTGCCATCTCCGCTAGGATGTGCAGAGGTACATCAAACTTAGTATGTCCAAATTAGACCTCGATTTTCTTCTCCATACCTGTTCTACCTACAGTTTTTTCCATTTTAGGAAACACCAACCCGTGGGTCAGGCAAACATCCTAGGAGTCATTCTTGATTCCTGGGCTTCTCACTGTTCTCCTGTCTTCTTTCATTCAGTTCTTCACATTGCAAAGAAAGCATTCTTTTTTTTTCTTTTGCGTTAAAAGTGGAAGAACAGAACTCCTTGTCTATCTCCTGATCCTACAAGAAAAGCATTTAGTCTTTCACCATTGAGGATGGTGTTGACCGGGGACTTTTCCTAGATGTACCTTACAAGGCTGAGAAGAGTCCCTTCTGTGCCTTGTTTATTGTGTTTTTATCATGCAATGATGTTGAATTTTTTTGTGTGTCTGTTAAGACAGTCCTGTCATTTTTGTCCTTTACTCTGTTGATGTGGGGTATTACATTAGCTGATTTTCACATTATACTGGTCTTCTTATATATTGCTCTGTCCAGTTTTTTGTTGTTTTTTGTTTTTTTTGAGATGGAGTTTCACTCATTTTTGCCCAGGCCAAACTACAATGGTGTGATCTCGACTCACTGCAATCTCTGCCTCCCAGGTTCAAGAGATTCTCCTGCCTCAGCTTCCCTAGTAGCTGGGATTAGAGGTGCATGCCACCACACTCAGCTAATTTTTGTATTTTTAGTAGGGACCGGGTTTCACCATGTTGGCTAGGCTGGTCTCAAACTTCTGACCGCAGGTGATCCGCCTGCCACAGCCACTCAAAGTGCTGGGATTACAGGCGTGAGCCACTGCGCCCAGCCTCTGTCCAGTTTTCTAAGTGTTTTGTTCAGGGGTTTGCATTCCAAAGTGTTCCTTCTGAACAAATGAGATGACATCACTTCTCTGCTTTAAAGCTCTTCCGTGGATTCCCACCAAACTCCAGAACTGCCCTCTCTGGGGCCTGTGTGCAATGTCACCCCTTTGCTCTGCTCCCAGTCCAAATCCTTCCCTTTCGCACTTCCCTGCTCTCTCACTGGGTTCTCCCGGAAACAGTTTCTAACAAATCCCCTCCATGCAAATCCTCTTCTCAGGCACCACTTGTGTAGATCAACCAACCGCTATGCAGGAGAAGCATCTCTGGTCCCCTCAGCGCTCCCACACCCCCAGCCTCCTCGCCCTAACCGGGCTCTGATGATTTTCCTACAGGTGATTTATGCCCTGAACACCCGCCAGGATGAGGCTGAGGCCAGCATGGAGGCACTCCGGGACGCGCACCAGGAGGAGCTCCAGAATGCCGTGGCAGAGACCAAGGCCAGGCTCCTGCAGGAACAGGGCTGTGTGGAGGAGGAGGCCCTTCTCCAGCGCATCCAGGCCCTGGAGAGTGCCCTGGAGCTGCAGAAGAGGCTGACGCAGGAGGCGCTGGCCGAGTCGGCCTCGTGCAGGCTGGAGACCAAGGAGAGAGAGCTGAGAGTGGAGGCAGAGCACGCCGAGCGGGTCCTCACGCTCTCCAGGGAAATGCTGGAGCTCAAGGCTGACTATGAGAGGAGGCTCCAGCACCTGACGAGCCACGAGGCTTCCCTGCGGGGCCAGCTGCCCCAGGAGAGCCCTGACACCAAGTCAGAGCCAGGCCAGGGCCCGGAGATGCAGGAGGTCCTGCTAGAGGTGCAGCGGCTGCGAGTGGAGAACCAGCAGCTGAGCAAGGACTACGCCCGCAAGGCCGAGGAGCTGCAGGCCACCTACGAGCGGGAAAACGAGGCCATCCGGCAGGCCATGCAGCAGTCGGTGAGCCAGGCCCTGTGGCAATGGCAGGAGAAGGAGTCAGACCTCCGCAAGAACTTCCAGGTCCAGGAGTCTGCCCTGCAGGCTCAGGTCCGGAAGCTGGAAGGAGACCTGGAGCACAGAGGCCGCAAGATCAGTGACCTGAAGAAGTACGCCCAGAAGCTGAAGGAGAGGATTCAGGTAAAGCAGCATCTCTTCATACAACCTCACAGGGATAATCAGCAGGGCTGCCGATTGTGAACCTGCTATAGGTCAGGCACTGTGCCAAGCACTTGCCTTCTATGGAGGTGAGCCCTATTACCTCCATTGAATTCAACTACATTCATTCCACAAATATTTATTTATTTATTTATTTATTTGCTTGCTTGCTTGATTTTTATTTTTGAGATGGAGCCTCACTCTGTCACCCAGGCAGGAGTGCAGTGGCATGATCTTAGCTCATTGCAACCTCCACCTCCCAGGTTCAAGCAGTTCTTCTGCCTCAGCATCCCTAATAGCTGGGAATGCAAGCACCCACCACCACACCCAGCTAATTTTTGTATTTTCAGTAGAGACAGGGTCTTGCCATGTTGGCCAGGCTAGTCTCGAACTCCTGACCTCAGGTGATCTGCCTGCCTCAGCCTCCCAAAGTGCTGGGATTACAGACTTGAGCCACTGTGCCCAGCCCAAAGATATTTATTGAACACTGACTATCTGTCACGCCCAGGGCAGGGACACGTGGTGAGTTATACTTGGTCCCTAATTTGGAGAACTTGGAGACTTACAGTCTGAAGATGAGAAGCTAAGACTGAAATTGAGAGGCTTAAGGATGGTCTACCTTGGCACATGGCTAATAAGTGTTTGAACTCAGATCAGCCTGATTCTAAAGCCCCTGTTAGTTTCATAGCAACCTGCCTGTCCTAAAATCCCCAGGACTTTGGGTTTATAGAGAGCAGGATCATTGACGATTCAGTTATGTGAGCCCCACAAAAGCACAGAGCCCCATCTCTAAAAGTAGCAGCAGTTAGTCTTTCTTTCTTTCTTTCTTTCTTTCTTTCTTTCTTTCTTTCTTTCTTTCTTTCTTTCTCTCTCTCTTTCTTTCTTTCTTCTTTCTTTTTTTGAGACCGAGTGTCACTCTGTTGTCAGGCTGGAGTGCAGTGGTTCAATCTCAGCTCACTGCAACCTCCGCCTCCCTGGTTCAAGTGATTCCCCTGCCTCAGCCTCCCTAGTAGCTGGGACTGTAGGCATGTACCACCATGCCCAACCCAGCTAATTTTTTTTTTTTTATTTAATGGAGACAGGGTTTTACCATGTTGGCCAGGATGGTCTTGATCTTCTGACCTCATGATCCACCTGCCTCGTCCTCCCAAAGTGCTGGGATTACAAGCATGAGCCACCGCACCTGGCCAGCAGTTAACATTTCTAATACTCCCTGAGCATTTTTTTTTTACCAGACACTTTATCACATTTAATCGTTACTACAGAAAGGTGAGAGGATGAGGAAGGACTTGATGAGTCCGGAACCACTGAATTCCACAGACTCAGGGCTTCTGCTGTGAACATACCCACCTTTCAGGTCTGATGGCTGTTCTGTGTACACAGGATGTCTCTATACAGAGCTGTAACCAGAGCAATGGGACCCTTCCTGTCTGTTTAGGACCTGGATGTGCAGCTCAAGGAGGCTCGACAGGAGAATTCAGAGTTGAAAAGCACTGCAAAAAAACTTGGGGAAAAGCTGGCTGTTGCCAAAGACAGAATGATGCTGCAGGAGTGTCGTGGGACACAGAAGACAGGTGAGATGCCCTGAGATGATTTCCTTGAAAGACCCAAGGTTAGCTGCCAGGTGGGCCTGGTGCTACTGGCAGCCTTGATCCTGCTAAGGGAGCAGAGAGGAGGGCCAGGGCTTCTTGATCTGATCTGCCTGGTGCCTGAGACCAATCCCTGCTGGGTACTGGTGAGCTGACACCTACAGCTGCCTTTCCTGGAGCTAGCTCGGGTTGGACATCTAAAAGTACCCCTTGCCCCCAAATGTTTCCCCACCAGAGTCACCACAGTGCCTGAAATTCTTAGCGCTGACTCATCCCACCCCCACCACTTAACACAATACTTTATGTTTCTCACTTCATTTAACACAATTATGCTGTTGGGTCTTTCCAATAATTTTGTGTGATAAGTATAGTCAATCTGGTTGGGCTGACTGACGGTGGCTCATGCCTATAATCCCAGCACTTTAGGAGGCTTAGGAGGGAGGGCCACTTCAGCCCAGGACTTTGAGACCAGCCTGGGCAACATAATGAGATCCCACCTCTATGAAAAAATAAAAATTAAAAAATTAAGTACAGGCCCGGCATGGTGGGTCACGCCTATAATCGCAGCACTTTGGGAGGCCAAGGCAGGTGAATCGCCTGAGGTCAGGACTTTGAGACCAGCCTGGCAAACATGGTGAAACCCCATCTCTACTGAAAATACAAAAAAATTAGCCGAGAATGGTGGCATGTGCTTGTAATCCCAGCTACTTAGGAGGCTGAGGTAGGAGACTCGCTTGAGTCCTGGAGGCAGAGGTTGCAGGGAGCTGAGACTGCATCATTGTACCCTCTAGCCTGGGCAACAACAACAAAACTCCATCTCAAAAAATAATAATAATAATACAAAGTATTGTCTCAAAATTTTGGGCTCAAGTGATCCTCCCACCTTGGCCTCCCAAAGTGCTGGGATTACAGGCATTAGCCACCACACCCAGCCCAAAAAGTATTGCCAATCTTTTATGTTACAGATGAAGAAATGAGACCAAAAAAGGATAAGTGCCTGGCTCAAGGTCAGCCGATTGGTTGGGATACAATCTTGCTCGTATCCAAAAATACACGATTCTAAGTGCCTTCCCCTAGGTCCTCTCAACAGAAAGTTCTTGAAACTGGGAAATATAACAAAGGCATAAAACATGGGAACTACCTTCAGGGAGCTCATGGGACTGTACATTACAGCCCACAGCATGCTTTGGTATCAAAGTCAGCAGATGAATAACATGTGTAAGAAAGAAGTCACCATGGGCCAGAAAGCTGCAGAGAAAGAGGTCCTGGTTCTGGAGAAACCGGAAAAGTGTTGTGGGTTTAGAGCAGAACTCTCAAACGTAGGACATGAGAACTTCAGTGAGTATGGGAGGAAAACTTAGTAATTCTGCTTATATTAAATATTTGTTATTGTTTCATCCTTTAAATTCCTATTAAAAGAACATGTATTTAGAACATGCTCAATTTTTTTTAACTGATGGAAACTGCAGTCAAAGAGATTTGGAGATTATTTAGGAAGGGAGAGCAGGGCAGCTATTTCAGTTCATGAGGTTTCTTGAGATGAGAATTGCTACCTTAACCATGCTTCAGGGCCAGCAGACCACAGGGCAGGATTTACACAGGGGATGCTGGACAAAGTGTTTGAAAAGCAGAACTGTGACCTGACAGCAGAAAACCTTGAACAAGAGGCCATGGCCAAGAGCATTCCAAATAATGTTGAAATGTCTACTTGCAGATGACATGAAGACTGAGCTAGTTTCCGAGAATGAAGTCCTGGGGGAAGAGAATGACTTGGAAACCCACAATCTTCATCCTCAGCAGGATCAAAGCTATCTCAAGGAGTGTCCTTGCATGAAAGGAAGCACAGACACACAGGTAGTGTCTGACCCAGCCCTGGGGGTAGAGAAGGCACAGGGAGCTTTGCCATCTATCATAAGCATCAGGTAGAGGCCAGTCCAAACATAGTGGATCCACTTGGAGTCAGCAGATCCCACAGTCTCAGGAGTAGAATTCCAGCCAACTTACTGCCTACTCCATGCCATTAGAAACCAGGAGACTGAGAATGCAGCAGAATCCTCCCAACGCTGTATCATCGGCTTCTGGGAAACTGGAAACTGGCTTAGGATCTCATTGCATGTTCCCAGTCAAAACAAGCAAAGCATTATTTAAAAGCTACTATAGTATGGACTGAAATATCCCATCTCATGATAACACATACACCCTTCCAAAAATCCCTTTTCCAATGGGAGAGACTCTTACTAACATCAAATATATAGTCTTGTAAAATTGATTGCCCCTTGTGCTACACGCTGTAAAAACAGTATGTAAATGTTGTAAACGTTGTGTGAAAGAGAAATGGTGATTCCCTGCTCCTCACCCCTCCCCAGCAGTTTTACGAGGTCCTTTTTCTTTTTATAGACCAAGAAAGAGGCAAGTGTTGAGACAGAATATATGAAGCAACAATATGAAGAAGACCTCCGTAAAATCAAACATCAGACAGAAGAGGAGAAGAAACATCTCAAAGACCAGCTGGTGAAGCGGCTGGAAGACTTGGTAAAGAATCACACCATGGAAATCAAATCAGTTCGCTCATCCGTGGAGGCTGAAAGAAAGAAACTGCAGAAGGTGAGGTCTACAAACAGACTGTGCTGGTTCCTTTTTCTTTCTCCCACCTCCTTCTTTTCCTTTTTTCTTCCTTCTTTTTCAAACATTCACTGAGCTCCTGCTATGAACAAATGTAAGCTTGTTCTCTGAATATACACAGATGAAAGACACAGACCCTGTCCAAAGGGAGTTCAAGGTCTTTTAGATGAGACGGGGGACAGCCCTAAGGGCCTGCAGTCATTGACATGGGGTGGAATTGTGTCATGAGTGGTGAACTTAGGAAAATTCAACTCTACTTACTCTGCAAAAACACACAGAGAATACCATGAACCAAAAACTCAGGCCTGGAGGACTTCCTGGATCTAACGCCCCGCCCGACCACCACACTTCCAGTGATATAACCTGGGCCCCCACAGAGGGAAATTCCACATGCCTCCGGATCCTAATTTGTAAAATGGAGGATGATAATAATAGCACCTCACAGAGTAGCTGCAAGTTTTCAATGAGGGAACCACGTGGAGACACAAGGCATATCCTAGTGCCTAGGACAGGTGGGCAGCAGGTCGATGCAGGTAATTAATCAGCAGCATGCCAAAGGAGGGAAAATTCTGTCTCTATGTGCTGTTCTGCTCTCCCTCCAAACAGGGTGGCTTTCTGCTGGCAAGGCATGCAAAACCTCATCTCTTGTGTTTGCTGAAATAAGTAAACAACATATGTGAAGTTTTCAGAAAAGAATAAAGTGTGAAGCAATATCATTGTGAATGCAAGTGGAATGCTTTGTTTAATTATTACAAGGAGGCCTCTTTATAACCTGAGATTCTGTACTACCAGCTTTGAGTGTTCACTGAATGACAATCCTGTGTCACTGGGGCATGCACTGTTGTGTGGGGGTTAGGAGTAGTAAATACTCAAGAAATGAACTCATGAAAGAGCAAAACTAGTCTTGGATCAAAGTCCTGACTCTAACACAAGCTGTTTGACTGGAGCCAGGTCATGTAACCTCTCTGAAGCCTAATTTCTGTTTTTGAAATGGAGTCTTGCTCTGTCATCAGGCTGGAGTGCAGTGGCATGATCTCGTCTCACTGCAACCTCCACCTCCTGGGTGCAAGTGATTCTCCTGCCTCAGCCTCCAGAGTAGCTGGGACTACAGGCAAGTGCCACCACACCCAGCTAATTTTTCTATTTTTAGTACAGACAGGGTTTTCACCATGTTGGCCAGGTTGGTCTCGCTCTCTTGACCTTGTTATCCACCTGCCTTGGCCTCCCAAAGTGCTGGGATTATAGGCGTGAGCCACCGCGCCCTGCCTGAAGCCTGGTTTTTAAAATAGGGCTAAATACTTCAAGGGCTTGTTATAATACCATAATAAATATGGTATTATAGTATATATAAACCCTTCTCTTAGTAAAAAGCATGTAATGAAAGTTCATGATATGGTAGATACTAATTTCTTTTGTTTGTTTCTTTTGAGACGGGGGTCTCTGTTGCATAGGCTGGAGTACATTGGTGCGATCATGGCTCACTGCAGCCTCAACTTCCTGGGCTCAAGCAATCCTCCCACCTCAGTCTCCCAAGTAACTGGGACTACAGGTGCACGCTACCATGCCTGGCTAATTTGTAAATTTTTCTGTAGAGATGGGGATCTCACTGTGTTGCCCAGCTGGTCTTGAACTCCTGGATTCAAGGGATCCTCCCACCTTACCATCCCAAAGTGCGGGGATTATAGGTGTGTGCCATCGTTTCCAGCCCTCATTGTTAATTTCCATGTGCGTTGGGTAACCTAATGTGTGATAATATTATTTCATGCCCACTATACTCTGTAAAGTACCTTATACTTTAGAACACATTTAATCTTTCCAACAATATTACAAAATGTTTAGATCCCATTTAGAGTTGAGGAAACTGAAGTTCAAAAGTGTTGTATATCAAGTCACACAGCTAAGTGGTGGAGCTGCAATTCAAAGCTGATGTCCTGACTCCAGAGCCCATGGCTTCCCCACCTTCGAACAGGGCAGGCAGCTGTATGGAAAGCATTTTTTTCTCCCCATGAGCTGCAACTGGTTGCACAAATCTAATCCTCAGACAAGCAAATGGACACTCTTTCCATCCCTGGCCACAAGCGACAGGAGGGATAACAGAGCTATAGGTTGACCTGGTAACCTGTCAGCCACACCTGACTCTGAATGTGTAAATCTCACTTCGGCCTTAATAGGGGGCATGAGTCTGTCTGGGATATGAATCATGTCACAATAAATTGCACTTACTTTGGGGGTTTTTCATTTTACATTTTGTTCATTTCCAAAAGCTGAGAATTTAAATTAGGCCACACAGATTGGGAAAGGTAAAACCTTAAAAAGGCCTCAAATCTAGGGTTTATAGACTAAAAATAGATACCATTTTCCCCTACAGAGTTAGGAGTGCACTATGTTTTTGTTTTTTTTTTTTTTTTTTTTTTTTTTTTTTGAGATGGAGTCTTACTCTGTCACCCAGGCTGGAGTGCAGTGGCACGATCTTGGCTCACTGCAACCTGCACCCTCCGCCTCCCGGGTTCAAGCAATTCTTCTGCCTCAGCCTCCTGAGTAGCTGGGACTACAGGCATGCACTACCATGCCTGGCTAATTTTTGTATTTTTAGTAGTGACGGGGTTTCACCATATCGGCCAGGCTGGTCTCAAACTCCTGACCTCATGATCCACCCGCCTAGGTCTCCCAAAGTGCTGGGATTACAGGCATGAGCCACCACGCCCAGCCTAGGAGTGCACTATTTCTTTGAGCCCTTGTCTGTGGGTATATTGTGTATCCCAAGTGCTACCCTAACCTAAAGGGCACACTACAGGAGGTGAGCGGAGATGACCTGGAGGCCTCAATGCCTTTATTGACCTCAGATTAGATGATACTGTCACTGAATCTTGACAGACAGCACAGTACACATCCTAAAATTAGCACTGGCATACACTGAGTCCCAGGGAAGGGAGGCAGATGACGTATTCAGCACCTCTGAGCTGCGCTAATCACTTCTGCACATTCTCATTTGTATCACTTAGGATCCTTGGTGACAAGAATCACAAACCCACCTGGGAGTTCAGGCAGAAAAGAAACTTAATAAAGCATAATGGAAGACCAGGGAACTGGGCTTGGCAGCTACACAGCCAGGAATAATGTCCCCAGTCTATTGCAAAATGGATTAGAACACCTGTGCTGACACCTCTGAACCTGGACCTGCAGCTTACACAGCTGACACCACCAACCCTGGGCCCTGAGCGTTGCCTGGAGAACTGAGCTGTCTAATAAGGGAGCCGCTAGATATGTGTGGTTACTTAAATTTGAATGAATTACAATCAAATACAATTGAAATTTCAGTTCCTCAGGGGCATTAGCTGCATTTCAAGCGCTCCCTAGTCGTATGTGGCAGTGGCTACCCTATTGGCCAGCACAGCTCTGAGGGATTTCTGCACATTAGCTATGTCACACTGTGGAATATTGCATCATCACAGAAAGTTGAGTTGGTCAGTACAGCTCTAGAACAGCTGGCCCTGCTGCCCCTGGAAACTGCAGCTGCCAAATTCTATGTGACTCCCACTGGTCCATATCACTGGCCTCTGATTTGAAATCCAGAATAGGCACACTTGACTGGGGAGCTTCAGTCACATGCCCATGCTCATGTTGCAGGCAGTCTGGTGTTTTCCAGTCCTGTGATAAGAGGAGGGCTCTGATGCATCAGACGGAGAATTCCCAAACATCCAAATGGAAGGGAGGCTAGATCTTTGGCAGCCAAAAGGAATGACAACTCTCCACTCAGCAATCAGCTCCTGACCTCAGCTCTGTTGTTGTTTTTCCATTTCATAGGCAAGGAACTTGGGGAATTAAGTAACTTGAGTAGAACACAACTAAGAGATAACACAGTTGCATATGAATCAGGCCTGTCTGACTCCACAGTCAGTGATTTTTGCTCTCTATCAGTCTGTATGTGTAAAAGAATATACATTGCCCTGGGCCTTCAATAGTAACATTCAGGTCCTCACTCTGCCATTATCCACGTATTACTTATTTACCATCTACTGAATGCATATTTATGTTTTGAGCAGTGCAGGGATACAGGAATCAGCCATGTTTTCAGGGAACACACAGTCTGGTAAGAAGGACAAGATCTAGTCAAGTCAGTCTGAAGTAAGTACCTGGGGAGAGCAGTCTCACTGTCAAATCTTGACTATGTCACCCCGAACCACTACAGGCCTCTGTTTTCTAACTTTAAATAACAAATATTCGTGAGATTATCTTTTCAGATTTTTTTTTCTTTTTTTGCTACTAACACCAAGATCTCAATTTTTTTTTTCCTATTTCTACCAATGCCCCAAGTACTCCTGGTTATTTAGAAGTATATTGTTCAATTTCCAACTATTTGGGACATTTCCAGATATTGTTTTATTATTGATTTCTGATTTAGTTCCCCTGTGGTTGGAGAATAGATTCTGTCATTTCATTCCTTTGAAATTTGTTCAGCTTGATTTTGGCCCAAATGTGGTCTGTCTAGACGAATGGTTCATGTGTGCTTGAAAAGAATGAGTCTGTTGCTGTTGGGTGGAGTCTTCTATAAAAGCTAATTAGGTCAAGTTGGGTAATAATATTGTTCAAGACTATTATGTCCTTACTGAATTTTCTCTACTTGTTCTGTTGATCTTTGAGAGAGGAAAATTGAAATCTCTATTAAAATTGTAGATTTATCTGTTTCTCCTTTTGGATCTCAGTTTTTGCTTCATGTAAATTGAAACCTTTTCATTAGTGCATATACGTTTAGGATTCTCATGTCTTCCTGATGAACTGACCCTTATTATTTATGAAATAGTATTTGTCCTGAAGTCTGCTTTGTAGGATATATATATTAATTCCAGCAGGTTTACAGTTAGTGTACCTTGGACTATTTTAATCTATCCTTTTACTTTAACCTGCCTGTGTCTTTCTATTAAAAGTGCTTTTGTGGTATACTTAGGTTCTTTTTTATACAGATTGACAATCTCTGCCTTTTA